CTACCCCGAGCTGCGCCTCTTCGGGGGCCTGCTGCGCCGAGCGAACTGCCTCAAGCGCTGCAAGCAGGGCCTGCCAGCCTTCCGCCAGTCGCAGCCCAGCCGCGAGGTGCTGGCCGAATTCCAGCGCCGGGAGCCCTACAAGTTCCTGCAGTTCGCCTACTTCAAGGCAAGTCCTCCCGGCGCCGGGCCCCGCCCCTTCCCCGCCCCAGGCCCCGCCCCCGGACCAGGCCCCGCCCCCTTCGTGCTGGGCCGGGTTCCACCGCCCTCTCTGGACCCAGCTCTCAGACGCCCAGCCTTGGCAAAGGTCGCCTCCGAATCACGTCGCCCTTACTCATCGCAGAGAAGGAAATACCTTTCCTGAAGGGTTGTTCTAAGGCAGAGAATACGTGCATAGGACATCTAGCGCAACCAACTGCCTGGTCGTTGTTACCTATTATTGGAAGACAGACTCCGCTTTCAGTACGTGCCATTAAAGTCCCTTTCAGTAGCAGAGGGCCTGAGGAGCCGCCTGGTCCCTTATAAAAAGGAGGAAATTGAGGCCAGGAAAGGGGAGAACACATCCTTGCCTGGAGGAGCAGACCGAAGCCCTGATTCATCAGGGCTGGCGCTCTCTGATGTCTGTCTGTCCTCTAGAATTTAATTTAACACAGTTGTCTTGCTCCTTTTTGCGGCTGATTTGATTCTGTCTGTGATTGCTGGCTAAAAATAGCCTCAAATTGCAGTTCTCTATCCTTGGAGACCCACAAGTTTTAAGAATGGGCTGAATTCCCTGTTACTGGATAAAGAAGCTTTAACTTTGCAGGTCTTCTCTGGGTTTTGCCAAGAGAGCCCAGGTTCTACTTTATCTCATTGGAAACGATTTTAAAAACAATATAATTGCGTTTATTTTAATGACTGCAAAATTAGATGCATGACAATTGCCAGACTCTGGAGGGGAGAAGTTGGTTGTTTTGTTTTGTTTAACTTTGATTTGAGTCTTTGGCCTGCAAGGTCTGTTTTTCATATTTCCACTGAAACAGCCACATGAGCAATAAAATAGCACTAAACCCCAAATAGAAGGAGAGTTGGGTTATTATTTTTTAATATATTTTTATTTATTTCAGAGAGGAATGGAGAGGGAGAGAGAGATAGAAACATCAATGATGAAAAAGAATCATTGATCAGCTGCCTCCTGCACACTCCCTACTGGGGATTGAGCCCACAACCCGGGCATGTGCCCTTGACCGGAATTGAACCCGAGACCTTTTAGTCCACAGGCCAATGCTCTATCCACTGAGCCAAACCGGCTAGGGTGAAAGCTGGGTTATTTTATGCTCAAGTATAGTTTTATATAACAGTAGAGGCCCAATGCACAAAATTCGTGCAAGAGTAGACCTTCCTTCCCCTGGAAGCCGGCACCGGCTTCCCTCTGGCACCCGGGACCTGGACTTCCCTCGCAGCCCCCGCTTCACCCGGAAGGTCGTCCAGAAGGATGTCTGGTCTAATTAGCATATACGCTTTTATTATTATAGATATGAGTTTTGTGGCTGTTTGTCCTGGCAATAAAAAAAGTTTTAAGATGGAACCAGGGATAAGATTAATAAATTTACAGGACATTGAAAAATGATGACTGGTTCATTCAAGCACTATTTTTTAAGCTAAAAATGACTTGTTTAATTCTCTCTCTTTTTTTGGATAGCTTTTGGCAAATGCAGTCAGAACCAAAATTGAAGCACATAATCAAAAGGGGAAACACTTTATTTTTAAGACTTGAGAATAGCAAAAGCTCTGATTTCTTTAATGTATAGATCAAATGGAATCAAGTGATGTAGGGAGGAAGGGAAGAGCATTTTACTCAATGTGACCTCTAAGGCCTGGGTTTTCTCCTTCATCGTGTCATCCTCAAAGGTCAGGAAGTTCATAGCTTCTCTTCAGAACCCTTTAATAATCTTGTAACAGTCACTTAAAAGTCAGTAAAATACCATCTGTCTTAGTATTTTGAGATCTCTTCCAGAAAAACATTAAGAATTTAATTAATAAATATGAAGAATCTTCCTTGCTTCAACTGAAAATCACAGATTTTAGGTGGTGATACTGTATGGTGTGTTTTTTTATTTTTTCTTAATGATGTTTATATTTTCAAATTTTGTTTCTGGGTAGAGAGAAAACGACTATTGGCAGGCACATACATTGTACCAGACACCTAAAGGCTAGAGACAGGATTTGGGTGGATGCTTCTGTGCCAGTCTGATTTGTCACTGTTTCAGTGATTAAGGACGAGTGTCTGATCTGAACACATGGGGAGGGATGGTGAGTTCAGACTGTCAGAGAGAGGTGAGGAGGCGTGGATGTGTGATCTTACAGAGAAGGGGCCACCCTCCAGGTGTGTAGCCCTCAAGTCCTCAAGCCCACTACAGATTTCATGTCTCCAGCCTGCCTTAGGTGTATATCACTCGCTGTGGGCTCTCTCTGTGGCCACCATCTCCTTGGAATACTCATCTTCCGGCGAGGCTCAGTGGTTGAGCGTCATCCTATGAACCAGGAGGTCACGGTTCCATTCCCAGTCAGGGCACATGCCCAGATTGCAGGCTGGATCCCTAGTAGGGGACGTGCAGGAGGCAGCTGATTGATGATTCTCTCTCATCATTGATGTTTCTCTCTCTTTCTCCCTCTCTCTCTCCCTCTCTCTCTCTCTCTCTCTCTCTCTTTCTCTCTCTCTCTCTCTATAAAAATATATTTTAAAAAATGCTTATCTTCCCCACAGGCCAAGGAAAAAGTGGGCTGCAGTGCTTTGTCAAATCCTTAATGACTCTGAACTCTAAGCAGAGAGCACTGGCCACCTTGCAGGCACCACCCTTTCCCAAACTCAGAAGGCCTGCCGCCACACCGACTTAGGAGTGGCTCGTTGGGCAGGTAGCGGGGGGTCCTTTCATGCAGGTGGCTGTCTCTCTCTTAGGAACCCGTGGCAGGGGAGGGCTCCCACCCACCTTCTCCAAGATGTGGCCTGTGTCCCAGCTGGCAGAGCTGAGTTAAAGTGAATGGGTACCCTTTGCTCTTCAGGAGGGGGTTCCGTTTTGTGAACTCAGGTCCCAAGTGAGAGGCCTTAAGAAGCCCCCTCCACGCCCCTCTTTCTAGGTGCTCTCCTGAGACTGAGAGCCTCATTCCACTGGCACACGCGGTAAAAGGGCTGCATTCCGACCCCCTCCTTCCCTCCACTGCCAGGCTGGCCTCTTTCCGGCCAGGACTGTAAAACTCTGCAGAACGCTTTCAACGCCGTCCCACTACCGGCCACTGACTGGCGTCCTCAAAACATCACCACCCAGCGCTTCGCTATTACAGCCATCAATGTTGTTTTAAACGACTTGGCTCCAATTCTGGGGGAATTTCGTATGGATATGTGCTACCCTTTGATTCTCTCTTTGTCCTTCTTCTTTCAGGCCAGCCAGCTTCTGCCCACAGCTCCCTCTCCCAACTTCCTTCATTCCTCACACTTGCCAAGGTCTCTCACGAGCACAGGGCTTTTGTCAGAGTCATTTCTGCGTTCTGACCAGAAGTTACCTCCCATGAAGCAGTAAAACGCAGAATCAGGTGGCCACTGCCTAACCGTGGAGAAGAGAAAGGGAAAAAGAGAAGAAAATGGGAATGGATTTTATGACAATATTATGTGGTCATAATGTCAAGTCCAATCACTGATGCTGTGTCCTGCCTTGTCCCAGGAGGTGTGCCAGGCACGAGGAATGCAGACAGGAATGACACTGCTGGGTCCTAGCAGGATCATAGTGAGGAGGGGGAGATGGACACATCAGCTGAGCCCACAGAGAGGTGTGAAAGGTGGGAAGACAGAACACAGGCGACATCGAGTTTGCTGGGAGATAAGGAGAACTTATTTAAATGTACAGTACATGAAGACAGGGACTCATCCCCCCCCCCCCACACACACACACCCTCTGTTTTGCCCCTTGTTACTTTCTAGAACAGTGCCTAGCATGTAGGAGGCTCTCAGAAAATGCTTGCTGAGTGAATGGACGAGTAAGTGAGCAGGTGGTGACAGTCATTGAGAATGGTGAGGTCCAGCCAATGTGGCTTGGTGGTTGAGTGTTGATCCATGAGCCAGGAGGTCACAGTTCCTGGTCAGGGCACATGCCTGGGTTTCGGCTCAATCCCCAGTGGGGGGCATGTAGGAGGCAGCCGATCAATGATTTTCTTTCATCTTTGATGTTTCTATCCCTTTCTCCATTCCTCTCTGAAATCAATAAAAATTATTTAAGAGAGAGAGAGAGAGAGAGAGAGAGAGAGAGAGAATGGTGAAGCAGCAGGTGAAGCAGCAGGTTCTGTGAGAGACTTAGGAAAATATTGATGTGTCAGAGACTGGCAGGAAAGATGTGGTGTAGTCATTTGGGCGATTGGAGGGACATTTATTAATAAGGCAGTTAGCTACAGAGGCTGGTTAACAGTGGAGTGTTGACCATTCCTAGGCCAAAGAGGCAAAGGAAAGAACCTGGAAGGAGAGAGAATGTATGTATGGAAAGGGTCACCTTGAGAGGAGCTATGACCTTCAGTTAAGGGACAACAGCAGCTCGAGGTGACTAGGCAGGGAGGGAACCAGGAGACTAAATAACCCAACCTCACTCTTCCCTTTCTTTAGTCTCCTATTGGGGTTCCTCATTGATGAATCCCACTGGAATCTTGAGGGCAAAGGAGTCTATTTTTGTTTTTGTTTTTTAAAAATATATTTTTATTGATTTCAGAGAGGAAGGGAGAGGGAGAGAGAGATAGAAACATCAATGATGAAAGAGAATCACTGATCGGCTGCCTCCTGCACGCCCTCTACTGGGGATCGAGGCCACAACCTGAGCAAGTGCCCTGACCAGGAATCGAGCAGTGACCTCCTGGTTCATAGGAAGACACTCAACCACTGAGCCACACCGGCCAGGCAGGAGTCTATTGTTATGGTCCATAAAGGCCAGCCTTTTGGGGTATGGAGCAGGATGGAGGCAGGGGAAGTAGATTGTGAAAGGCCCACAGAGGCCATCTAGTCACCTTCAGGGAATAAACACTCACCAGAGTAGCTGGACCAAGTCTTAATGGGCCATGGGAGTCACCGAACCCTAAGCTGGGAACATTGTGTAGAAACACTAAGTTGCTAAAGATCCAATAGACCTTCTAGTTTTGCATAAGCCATTGCTCACCATCCATTGAGTGGCTTTCGTCTTTCTTCTTTCTACTTTAGGCAAATAATCTTCCAAAAGCCATAGCAGCTGCCCACACCTTTCTACTGAAGCATCCTGATGATGAAATGATGAAGAAAAACATGGCTTATTACAAGAGCTTGCCTGATGCCGAGGACTACATCAAAGACTTGGAAACCAAGTCGTACGAGGTATGTTTGGAGTTTTGCACACTGGTCAGTCGCAATGTGAATTGTTGAAGAAGCGTATCTCATTGAACAACTATAGACATCTAAGGACTTCTAGTGACTTTTGATGACATTTGATGAATGTCATGACAATAGAAATGATTGATTTTTTAAGCACAAATCTGATCCATTTACGAATGAGATTTTACATTCCATGATGCTTTTAAAGCCACCTTTCCTTTCAGTGCTACATTTTAGAAATATGGTCAGTTGATTATTCAGTTTTAAGACGGTAAAATAAAGACAAGTCTTGGAAATCATCCCAAAAAATGACCAAGACACAAGAATCAGAAACATAAGTTTCCATTTCTGATGAAACTAGGAGACATATTTTTAAACACAAACACATACACACAACATATATACCTACTAGAGGCCTGATGCATGAAATTCGTACAAGAGTGGGCCTTCCTTCTCCCGGCCGCTGGCATCGGCTTCCCTCTGCAACCGGGACCCGGGCTTCCCTCGCAGCCCCGGCTTCATCCGGAAAGACGTCCGGTCTAATTAGCATATTATGCTTTTATTATTATAGATTAAAGTGGAAAGGGAATAGCGAGGCTAGGAGGACAGACTTGACAGGTGAGAAGCTACTTAGATCTATGCATCTGCAAAGAGGAATTCTGCTGAGAATTAATGAGGACAATGAGAAGAGGAAGACCCCAACCCCTCTCACCATTGCACTTACCATGGTATGGGCCTGTTGAACTCAGGCACTGGGGACATGAATATTAATGAAAGGCAGGGCAGGATTGGAAACACAGGGATATGTTGAAAGTATCCAGGGGGAGCCAGGGGAGCCCAAGCTCTGACTACAGGGTTTCCTCCCGTGTGACCAGCCTGCCAGCTCACTTTTCAGTAGTGGTGACCCTCACACGTAGTGTGTGAAGTCTCTTTCCTGGGGTCCCTTTAGTTTTCCAGGAGAGCATGCTGAGGCTGTCCTGGCCCCTCCAGGTTAGCAGGTCTGTTCGTGTATCCGAAATCTGTACTTATTTCTTGTGAGACCACGCTGCTTCCTCAGCCCTCGTTACTTCTCTTTTACCCGATCTGGTCAACAGTGAGCAGAAATTCCATGAAGTTTCTTCTGTGTGGCACATGGCTGCCTGCCCTCCCCAGGAACTGGGGCTGGTGGAAGGCCTCCCTATTTATTACTGCACGGTTAGGGACAGGTGTTTGACACCTGCTCTCAAGCTTATATCTTTTCCTGGATTCAATTTTTAAGATCAGCTTTATTGAGGTATAATTTATTTAAGTTTTAATTACAGATTTAAAATGTACAATTCAATGAGTTTGGACTTATATATGCAGTCCTGTAACTCCCACCATCATCATGACATAGAATATTTTCATCTCCCCTAACACGTTCTCTCATGTCTGTTTTGCCTTTGCCCCAAACCCTGACCCCCTGGGGACTGCTGCTCTGATTTCTTTCACTATAGTTTCCGATTTATCCTTGACTCGAACCTAATTTTATTATTAAGCACTTGCTACCTTTTGAATTAAATGAAATAAGAAGCGTACCATTGGCCCGGCCAGTGTGGCTCAGTGGTTGAGCATCGATCCATGAACCAGGAGGTCAGGGTTCGATTTCTGGTTAGGGTACTTGTCCAGATTGTGGGCTCAGTCCTCAGTAGCGGGGCGTGCAGGAGGTAGCTGATCAATGACTCTCTCTCATTGATGGTTTTTTCTCTCTCCATCTCCCTTCCTCTCTCTGAAATCAATAAAAATATATTTTTAAAAAAAGACGCGTACCACTGTACACAGGGTAGAAAAAGCTAGACAGAAATAAGTCACTAACTGGCTTCCTATTTAATGAGGGTCAGCGTGGTTTCTTCAGAATGAATGAGAATGGAGCCCTGTGGTGGTCTGATTCCTCTGGGAGGACAGGGCCCTCTCCCTTCACGTCTGGGAGTTTCATTAGCTTCTCCTTGCTTTCCAGAGCCTGTTCATTCGAGCCGTGCGGGCATACAACGGTGAGAACTGGAGGACGTCCATCACCGACATGGAGCTGGCCCTTCCCGACTTCTTCAAAGCCTTTTACGAGTGTCTCGCAGCCTGCGAGGGTGCCAGGGAGATCAAGGACTTCAAGGATTTCTATCTTTCCATAGCAGGTTGGTCGGGGGTCCTGGGAAAATAAAAATGGGCCCATGAGTACCTCGTGCCTCACGTTACTGAGATCACTCTAATACTGGAAATTCTTCAGCACAAACAAAGGCAGAACGAAGAGTATACTGAACCTCTAAGTCAGTGGTTCTCAACCTTCCTAATGCCGTGACCCTTTAATACATACAGTTCCTCATGTTGTGGTGACCCCCAACCATAAAATTATTTTCGTTGCTACTTCATAACTGTAATTTTGCTACTGTTATGAATCGTCATGTAAATATCTGATATGCAGGATGTATTTTCCTTGTTACAAATTGAACATAATTAAAGCATAGTGATTAATCACAAAAACAATATGTAATTATATATGTCTTTTCTGATGGTCTTAGGCTATCCCTGTGAAAGGGTCATTCGATCCCCAAAGGGGTCGCGACCCACAGGTTGAGAACCGCTGCTCTAAGTAGTTGTCACTAAGATAACTTTTGGAAGGAAATTGTCTGATTATAAAACAATGCATGTTCATTATAGGAAGCTTAGAAAACACAGGAGAGAATGAAGAAAATTTACATCACGCAGTTAGCTCAGATTGCCCGAGGTTTTCTCTTTAACCACTAGTGGGCAGTATCGCTCCAGAAAATGGGAAATGGCCGTAAAAGGTTTTCCCAAGTTGGTTTGGGGAACACTGAGCCTAGAACTGCACCTCATAGAAAGGGTTCCCTCGTCAGATAAGTCTGGGAAAGAGCTGTGAGCACTGTCTGCCTCTTGAAAGTCACTGCGCACTTTAGTGGTTAAAGGCTCCTAGAAATCTTGTGGTCTGGTGAATCTAGGGTTTTTTAAATCATTTTCTTTTGCTCAGGTATCTCTTTTTCCACTGAGTACCTTTTTTCCTTTCTTTTTTTTTTTTTTCCTTACCAAAACTTTTTTGTTGTGGAAAATTTCAAACATATATGAAAAATAGAGAGAAGAGTATAACAATCCACTATGTACCAGGGATCGAACCCGCAACCCAGGCATGTGCCCTGACCGGGAATCGAATCTGTAACCTTTCCGCGTGCAGGACGGCACTCCAACCACCTGAGCCATACCAGCCAGGGCCAGATTCACTGATTTTTGACATTGAGTGTGCTGCTTTTTCATTCTCTCCCAATGTGTGTGTGTATAATTATTTTTATTTCAGGACCATCTGAGAGTAGGTTGCATACATCATGACCTTTTAACCCATAATACTTCAGTGTATTTCCTAAGAACAATAATAGTCTCTACATACCCACAGTACAGTTACTAACCTCAGGCAACTGAATCTTGGTACAATGCTTTTATCTACAGTCCATTTTCAAATTTTGTCAACTGTCCCAGTGGTATCTTTTCCAGCAACTTTTTTTTGCCTGGTACATTCTAGCCAAGGATCATGTTTCCTAATTATTTGTTTCTGTCGTGTTTTTTCATCTGGAGCTGTTCCTTGGCCTTTCTTTGTTTTTCTTATGCCACTGGTATTTTCTTTTTAAATATATATTTTATTGATTTTTCACAGAGAGGATGGGAGAGGGATAGAGAGTTAGAAACATCGATGAGAGAGAAACATCAATTAGCTGCCTCCTGCACAACTCCTACTGGGGATGTGCCTGCAACCAAGGTACATGCCCTTAGCCGAAATCGAACCTGGGACCTTTCAGTCCGCAGGCCGACGCTCTATCCACTGAGCCAAACCAGTTAGGGCGCCACTGGTATTTTCTAAGAATGTAGGGCAGTCCCTTCATAGCATATTCCTCAGTTTGGGTTTCTGTGATGTGTCCTCACAATTGCATTTGGGTTGTGCGTGTTTGGCTGGACCATTACAGAAGTGTCCTCCTCAGTATCGCATCCAGATGTGGGTGGTGTCTGTTTGCCCCTTATTGGTGATGCTAGTTTTTGAGCATTTGGTTAAGGTTCTTTTCAGCTTCCAGTGTCTCCACAATATAATTACTATTTTTCCTTTCGAGATTAATAAGGAATTTGTGGAGAGGTACAACTTGCTGTCTATCAAAACACTCTGTCCCCCCGACCACCCCACTCCTCTGACTTAGCCTCTGTTGAGGATTATTGCCTGAATCATTGTTTTTCTACAAAGGTTCTGTGTATACAAATCTATTTCCTTCTTATTTTTTTGTCTGCTTCTTTCATATAGAATAGGTGCCATATTTTATATACTGTTCTGTTCTTAGTTTTTTCCACTTGACAATGTATCCTAACGAGTATACAGAGATTGTGTCATTCTTTTTTACTGCTGCCGAATACTTTTATTGGTGTGGGGAGGGGGGCGATATACTACAGTTTATTCACTTATCTGATGGACATTTGGGTTGTTCCAATCTTTTGCTATTTCATATAATACCACAATGGGACATTTTAGACTTTTTATTCTAATTATGGAGGTGTGTTTTCAAAGTCAACTTAAGTGGGATTGATTGCTCAAAGAGTAAATGTTTCCATAAATTATATAGTATTTTGTTACCATTTTGTACACCTACCAGCAATATAAGAGAGTGCCTTTCTAACAAGATGTGTACCATTTTTCTGGAGTCTTTGCTTGTCGTTGCATGAAGGGAGAAAAGGTAGGGGGCCAAGTATTATTTGGCGGTTTTGGGGAACCAGGCCCAGTAATAGCGTTTTTTCGTTGTCGCTATTCTCATATCATTGGCACAGCTAGTCCTATAGCCCCGATTCAACTGCAAGGGAGTCTGGGAAATGTAGTGTTTGATATCTTTCTATGTTATTATATTTAGGTCCTCCTAATCTCTTTTAAAGTCTATATAGATTTATATGTACCATAATTTATTAATCACCATCCTGTTGATTGGCATTTAGGTTATTTCCATGTTTGTTTGCTGTTTTGAACAGTGCTTATGTGTGGCTCTGTCTATAGAAAATTTCCCGGAACTAGACCACTGGGTCAGAGGAAATTAACCTTTGATAAATTTTGCCAAATTGCTCTCTGAAAAATTTGTTCCTGTTTTGCTTCCACCAACAGAATATGAGAGTGTAAGTCTCACCATTCTCTCCCTAACACTGGGTGTCATCATATTGTTAAAATTTTGGCCAATATAACAGTTTAAATGATCTTAGGTGGGACTATATTTCTTAATTATAAATGAGATTTAGCATCTTTTCACAATGTTTGAGCCATTTTTTTTTATCATTTCTTCTCTCTTCAGATCTCTTTGACCATTTTTACATTGGATATTTGTCTTTTTCTTGTTAATATTTAAGAAACTTGACATGTTAAAGGTTTGAGTCCTTCATCATAAGTGTTGCAAATATGTTACCTTCATCATTTATCATTTTTACCTTTATTAGTTGGGAGGTGGGGCAGAAGGACCATTAATGAAAAAAAAGAAAGAAAGAAAGTAATGCGTGCATGGCTCTGAACATTTATCTGTTCTTTCAGATCATTACGTAGAAGTTCTGGAATGCAAGCTCCAGTGTGAAGGGAACCTCACCCCAGTGATAGGAGGCTACCCAGTGGAGAAGTTTGTGGCTACCATGTATCATTATTTGCAGTTTGCTTATTATAAGTGTAAGTAATCCTCTTCTATGGAGATCTTGCACAAGGGGCTTCGTCCTTCTAAGACTCGGCTTCCCCCTCTGTACAAGAGAGGTAATGACTTGTGCCTGTGGTTTTGGGAGACTCCATCGAGGTCACATCATCAGCCCTACTGCATGCTTTGCACAAAAAGGCAGCATGCATAGTGACTCAGCCCACAGACCCTGGAACCAGACTGCCTGGGTGCAATTTCTAGCTTTGTCACTTCTCTGTGTCTCAGTTTCCTCAGCTGTAAAGTAGACAATAGCCCTGACCTCATACGATTGTGGTGAAGATTAAAGCAGTTGCTAGACATGGAATGCTGAGGGTATTCACACGCTGGCACAGAGCAAACTCTTTATAAAGGTGTTTGTTCTTTTTGTCGTTAACTCCCCTTCCTCCCCGTCATGGGCCTTACTTTTCTGACTGTTACAGTTTCCTTCCCATTGGTCCTCCCTTCGCCTGAACGTTATCAGTCAGAACATTCCAAGTGGACATAACTTTACCTACTGCACTAATTTCTTGAGTGCTGGTGGTGTTACTTACACTTGACCCCTTTCTGGGCCTTGTGAAGAAGTGGCTTATAAGAGGCTGGTTTTAAAGTTGTCGTTACCAGAAACAGCCACGAGGCGGCATGATTTATTCATACCCAGAGCTTTAGCAAAGGTACTGGTAGTGTTCCTGGGTTGTAAATTGGGTGGAATGTGCCTTCTTCCTTGTCCCCAGCCCTAAGACACATCCCAACCTCTCCTAAACTCCTGTGCTGTTGTAGGTGGGGCAACTCTAAGGAGGGCGGCTGGAGGGAACCTTGTTTCCAGGAGATGAAAAGACCAGGTGACTTTTTGAAAAATATTTATTGATTTTTTACAGAAAGGAAGGGAGAGGGACAGAGAGCCAGAAACATCGATGAAAGAGAACCATCAATCAGCTGCCTCCTACACACCCCTCACTGGGGATGTGCCTGCAACTGAGTACATGCCCTTGTAGGTGGGGCAACTCTAAGGAGGGCGGCTGGAGGGAACCTTGCTTCCAGGAGATGAAAAGACCAGGTGACTTTTTTTTTAAATATATTTTTATTGGTTTCAGAGAAGGAGAGGGAGAGAGAGATAGAAACATCCATGATGAGAGAGCATCATTGATTGGCTCCCTCCTGCCCTGTGCCCCGCCTGGGGATCAAACCATGACCTCCTGGTTCATAGGTCGATGCTTATCCACTGAGCCACACTGGCCAGGCCCAGGTGACTTTTCAAATCTCTTCCAGCCTGGAGAGTCCACCGTCCTTTTGGGTTTTCTAGGTTTGGTTTAGCTATCGGAGGGCCCACCTGAATCTGGAGATTGTGGTTTCATCCAAATGGGACCCGGGCACTTGAGGACCCCAACGGGGAGGCCCATTTGCTAAGCACATCCTCCCTCACTCTCCTCAGCCCCACGGATTCTAGGCCTTGGGCCCCAGGCTTCTCCGGTTCCACGGGTGTGAGACCAGCTCAGATCAGAGCCTGAGGTGGAAGATAGTAGGCATTTCTGCAAAGGCATCTGCCTAACAAGGAGCTTCCAGGTTTCAAAACTCCAGGCTGCCATGGAGACCCTGTCTGTGACCTGCCCGCCCAGGGATGATCCTGGTTGGTTGCAGGCTTTTGGAAGGAGGTGCTGCCGGAAGGGGCTCATGCACCTCCTTTTCCTTTAGGAAGCTGCGCTGTAAGGAAGGGTGGCAGGTGAGAGCAATTGATGTCCTGTTCCTCTTTCTCCCTAACCCCAGTGAGTGACCTGAAGAACGCAGCGCCCTGCGCGGTCAGCTACCTGCTCTTTGACCCCAACGACAAGGTCATGCAGCAGAACCTGGTGTATTACCAGTACCACAGGGACAAGTGGGGCCTGTCGGACGAGCATTTCCAGCCCAGACCAGTAAGTGCCAGTGCACCGGCCATCACATTCCTTTCCTCCTCTATCTGTCTGTCTATCTGTCTGTCTGTCTGTCTATCTATCTATCATCTATCTATTGTTAATCCTCACCTGAGGATATTCTTTCCATTGATTTTGATACAGAGAGAGAGAGAGAGAGAGAGAGAGAGAGAGAGAGAGAGAGAGAGAGAGAAACATCCATGCAAAAGAGACACATCAATTGGTTACCTCCCTGCAGGCTCAGTGACTGGGGCTAGGAATCGAACCTGCAACCCAGGTACGTGCCCTTGACTGGGAATTGAACCCGAGACCCTTCGGTGCACAGGCCGATGCTCTAACCACTGAGAAAACCAGCCAGGGCCTTTCCTCCTCTTCATTCTCAGGAGACTGCTTTGCACCTGAAGAGAAGGGGTTATTGGAAAATGAAAGGAAACTCATTTTATTTTCTGTGTTTTGCTCTCTAACATTTTACTGCTGTCTTCTGATTTTTAAACCAGTGAAAATTCTGCAGATTTCAAACCATTACAGAAACATTTTACTCAGAAAGTAAAAGTGTTCCCTCGTCACTCCATACTTTCTGTTTACCCCCTGCCTTATAGCTGCACATTTAGTCATCTGTACAGCCCGTATTTATTTATTTGTACGGAAACAGGCTCACACTTTACATACTGTTTTGCAGCTTGCTTTGTCTTCCTAGCAGGTCATGAACATTTTCCATGTCACACCTATACACCTGCTTTGTTATTTATTATTTTTAATAGCTTCGTGTTGGGCTTGTTTACTCATGGACCATCCTTTAATCCCACACTGGACAAACTCAGCTTCAAATTGTGTTAGGGAACTCCATGGATTATATATTATATTCAAAAGGTTTTTTCTAAATGATCTTTGTTCTTAACTTGTACTTTCATTGGAATTTACCGGTATGTATGTGGTCCTGGTTTGCCATTCATACATCTTCCTTCACACACACACACACACACACACACACATTCATACATCTTCCTTTCACACCTACATACACATTTTTCCTTCACTCCTACACACACACATACAATCTCTCTCTCTCTCTCTCTCTCTCTCTCTCTCTCTCACGCTCTCTCTCTCTCTCTCACACACACACACACACACACACACACACAGTCATACATCTTCCTTCACACCTACAAACACACTCACACAATCATTCACTAGAGGTTGGCTGCTGTTTTTTTTTAATGAGATATAACTTAAATACAGTAAAATTCACCCTTGGAAGGGGCACCAGTCCTGGTTTTAGTATATTCACAGAGTTGTGCAACCATGGCCACTACCTCATTTTAAATATTTCTATCACCCCCAAAAGAAACCCCATGCCCTATTCCTCCCACTCCTGGTCCTAATATTAAAAGGTTGGTCCTGTAAACTGTTCCCTGTCTGTGTCTGAACAGGAAGCGGTTCAGTTCTTCAACGTGACGACGCTCCAGAAAGAGCTGTATGACTTTGCTCAGGAGAATATAATGGATGATGATGAGGTAAGTTTTCATGTTTAGCACACGTCTGGCTAAGAGAAAATATTACTCACATCTTTGCTAAAATCACTGGAAGGCGAGTCATCCCTGAAATAAGAAACAGAAGGGGACCTTGAGACACGCGGTGTCTGTGGGCGTTTTAATGGGAGTCGGCGCTGGCATGGGCAGAGCGGCTTTCTAGGAACCCAGGCTGCAGCGCCGCATTTCCCCACGGAGCATGGAGCACGGAGCATAGTAGGTGCTCCAGGACCCACCATGGGAGCCTCCAACCATCTTTTTTTTTTTTTAAGGGGAAATTGATAAGCCTTTCTTCTTCTTCTTTTTTTTTAAAACATATTTTATTGATTTTTTACAGAGAGGAAGGGAGAGAGAGAGTTAGAAACATCGATCAGCTGCCTCCTGCACACTCCCTACTGGGTATGTGCCCGCAACCAAGGTATATGCCCTTGACCGGAATTGAACCTGGGACCCTTGAGTCCGCAGGCCAATGCTCTATCCACTGAGCCAAACTGGTTAGGGCTCTTTTTTTTTTTTTTAATTTGTTGATTTGAGAGAGAGAGAGAAACATTGACTTTTCGTTGTTCCACTTATTGATGCATTCATGTGTTGATATTTTTTTAAAGAATAAACATTTTTTTAAATACGTTTTTATTGATTTCAGAGAGGGAGAGATAGATAGAAATATCAATGATGAGAGCGAATCATTGATTGCCTGCCTCCTGCATGCCCCCCACTGGGGATCGAGTCTGCAACCCAGGCATGTGCCCTTGACCAGAATTGAACCTGGGACCTTTCAGTCCGCAGGCCTATGCTCTATCCACTGAGCCAAACTGGCTAGGGCAATAATAAACATTCTTTTTTAATATTTTTATTATTTTTATTTTGATAGTGGGAGGGAGGGAAGAAGTGGGGGTGTAGGGGGAGAGAGAGAGGAGAAACATTGATTTGAGAGAAACACATCATCTGGCTGGGGATTGAACCTGCAACCGAGGTACGTGCCCTTGACCGGGAACCAAACTCACGACCCTTCAGTCCGAGGGCTGAGGCTCTAATAATCACTGAGCCAAAACCAGCCAGGGCCATGGGTTGATTCTTGTATGTACCCTGACAGGGGATCAAACCCACAACCTTGGTGTATCAGGATGATGCTCTAATCAACTGAGCTACTTGGCCAGGGCAAATTTTGTTATTCGTGATGCTAACTGAATGGAATTATTTTCTTATTTTCATTTTTCCTTTACTTATTCCGAGTGTATAGAAAGACAGTTGATTTGTCATATTGATATTGTCATCCTGCACGTCACTCTAGCTTTCTGAAGTTGTTTCCTCCCCTGTGACATGAGAGAGCTTCACTGAACCTTCATGATAAAAATACCCAACAAAGTAGGAATAGAAGGGGGACTTCCTCGACCGACAGAGGGCACCACAAAAACAAAAACACGAAAAACCCCACCGCTAACAACATACTAAATGCTGAACCAATACTTTCCTTCTAAGATTGGGAGCAAGACAGGGTGCCCAGTCTCTCCGTTTCTATCTGACATTGTCGTGGAGGCGTTAGCCAGGGCAATTAGCAAAGAAAAATAAGTAAAAGACAACCAGATGGAAGAAGACGTAAACCACCACTATATTCCTAGGAAACGGGATCTCGGTGCGCCCTTGTCAGGTTGAGGAACCCCCCTTCCATTCCTACTTCGCTGGCTGCTTTTGTCATGAAGATTCAGTACAGCTCTCTCATGTCACCGATGAGGAAACGTTCCAAAAAGTAACCCAGGTCTTGGTCTCAAAAAGCCCGTGGTCTGGTGATCAAGGCAGACAAGGAACAGATCGAAAGTGTTCCTGTGGGGCAACAGCTAACGGGAGAGGGTAGAGGTGGGAGGAGGCACAGAAGGGGGGTGTCGAGCAGGGTCTTTTGGAGGTGGCTGGACTGCCCACCTCACACAAGGGCATCTGTGGGGGCACTTGACTCCACGGTCACATGGAGTGGGAGCCAGGTCCCCTCCCAGGGAGAAGCCAGGTCCCCTGGGCCCCAGGGCAGGGGCGAAGGGCTGCTATGGCCCCAGCAGGGGCCCCACAATGGCCTCTTGGGAAACAGTCTCTGCTCCCCGCACTTTAAAGCCAGGCAGCCCACTCAGCAGAGGCGTCTTGTTGTCTCTTGCAGGGAGAGGTGGTGGAATACGTGGATGACCTCTTGGAGCTGGAGGAGACCAGCTAGTCCACAGGAGACAAGGACACTTCCCGTCGATGTTCAGGAAACACAGATTCTTTGCCTTCCTTTTCCCAACTGCCCAAGTGGTTGATACCTCAAAGCCTTCTCTTTATTCTCTGAAGTGAAAGGGAAGCTCCGTCTCTCACTACATATAACAAGGGGTGAGCCTGCCTTCCCCGTGACCACACCTGCCTTCCCTGTGACCACACCTGCCTTCCATGTGACCACACCTGCTTCCCCTGTGTTCACACCTGCCTTCTCTGTGTTTGCGCCTACCTCCCCATCTTCACACCTGTCTTCCCCATATTCACACCCGCCTTCTTCATGTTCATACCTATCTTTCTCACCAGTCTTTCCAATTTTCCCCCCCAGAAAAAAACCAATATTATTTTTTAAATAAGAAAAATACTAAAAGATGATCATCGCGAAAACCTACTTTGACCTTTCTGCTCTTCCAGATTTTAATCTTTTTTTTTATCCCCATGAGCAATGAGAATCCCACCAGGAGGACTAACAAGGAGCCACCTTTGAGGTTGGAGAAAAACAGGAGAGTGTGGGGTTCTGGAATCTGAGCTTTTTAAGTTCGACCTTATTCCCTCCTCCGATAAGCCATTTAGTCTAGTTGGGACACGCCGGGGATGGAGGCAGGAGGCAGGGCTTTCCCCACAATGGCCCGGAAAGGAATGAAGGGACATCGAGTTTGGGGGCTTTAGTATGAGGATGAGTCACTGGTGGTAGAAAACACGTTTTTGCTTTTCCAGCTTCCTTTCCCCCCCATCTCACTGTTCCAGCCTCGGGGAATGTGATGCACCCTATTTCTCATGCGGTACTGTCCTTCCCCATTTCCCTTCTCCTGAGAGCACTTCCTTTTTTACCCACGTGAAGTCCTCATGCCAAGATCTAGGCTACTCAGCTCAAGACAGTAACCTACTCCTGTGGCTTTGGCGGAATTTGCCCACATCAGCAGAGTCTGTACTCCCAGGGGGCAGCGTGGCCAAAGGAGTCGGTGTTCTTGGCATCACTGATGGCTGCACCCCAGCTCATGGGATGCGGGGTTCTCCTGTCTTCCCTGGTCCCACCCTCTACTCCACCAGAGAGACTTCCTTTTGAAGTCCGTGGGGAAGAGGGTCATAGGACAGGATTACAAAGTAGAGGGGGACCCAGGGTGGACGCCCAGCCCCAGGGCTCCTGAATCATGGGGGTGGTGCACCCAGCGGCTGTTTAGCTCCCCCGAAGCTCCTGGCTGCAGTTGACCTTCCCAGTGTGTGAGGAGATGCACAGAGATCACCACAGGGCCAGGGCTGGGCTGGGGGATCTGACTCACTCCACCTCTGTGGCCTGTGGAGCTTCCGCCTGGTCCTCTGCCTTTGCATCTGAGTCTGGGCTGAGCTTTGTGTGGGTGATGTTTTTCCACACAGGGTTGGGTGGCGGTGGTGGTGGTGGCGGTAGTGGTGGTGTTCTCATTCACTCTCTGAACTTGGCCTCTTTTCACTGGGGATTGAAAATCACCTCCACCCCCATCCTAGCCATGTCCCCTGAGGAAGAAACCCCAGGGATAGTATGATCCACATCGTCAGCACCTCGCTTTGGTTGAAGGCTGTAGAACCGAATTATTAAACTGTTTACTTCAACGGAAACAACACCAATCTTTAAAAACAAAGAGGTGAGCTGGTTTCTCCTACCATGAAACCCCGGTGTGCGGGCTGCACTCAGTGACCACCCAGCGCCTCCCTGAACGGGTTTCTTTTTTCTTTTCTTTTTTTAGATATATTTCTTTATTGATTTCAGAGAGGAAGGAAGAGGGAGAGAGAGAGAGAAACATCAATGATAAGAGAATCATTGATTGGCTGCCTCCTGCACGCCCTACTGGGGATTGAGCCCGCAACCCAGGCATGTGCCCTTGGCCAGAATCGAACCTGGGACCCTTCAGTCCACAGGCTGACGCTCTATCCACTGAGCCAAACTGGCTAGGGCCTGAACGGGTTTCTTATATGGGCCTAGAAGATGCCTGGATTGGACCTCATGGGTTCAGCATCGGTCTGCTCTGTCTTTGAAAAAAACAACAACAACAACAAAAAACGAACACATTTGTGAGCTGTGTGAATTTCCATACTTGCCCACGATACCTCACTTGCCCTCTGACCCACCAAACGGTTCTCTGTTTGGTGTCCTCAGGCTGGTCCGCCCAGGGAGGCCGCCCACCCAGGGGCTGGGGCGGGGGGATCTGTCCAGCCCCATCGCTGGTCTGGTAACCCGGGCAAGGGCACCCATTGGACAGGTCTGAGGCGACCCGCTGCAGCCCCTGTTCATGTTCAGACATTGGCAGTGAATGGCTGAGGGTGTGTGTGTGTGTGTGTGTGTGTGTGTGTGTGTGTGTGTATGTGTACACATAGGTTTAAAAGGGACTGATTGTCTGAAAATGTCTCAGATATCAACATATTCAACGTACTGATATCTTTCCGAGTCCTGAGACTTTCTATTTACTGCCACAAACCTGTTGTTCTCACCTCTGGGATCCCGGAGAACCACTGGGTCCGTCGTCCACAAAGGCTGCCTTAGGAAAGGTTGCTTTTAGGGCTTCTTGCTAAGGGAATGTTAAGAGCACAAAAATTGTATTGAACCAAACTCGGTGGCAAACAGAAAATGATCTGTTAGATTGTCAGCGGGAAAGGGTTTATTATGACTGCCGGTGGGATAAACAGGGGCCGGTTTCTGCCAACATTTATGGAAATAACGTTTTTAAGTTTTAAATGTGAGCTGTAAACCTAAGCGCCTTCAGTTAAAAAAAAAAAAAATTCAATGCTGGAGCTGTCGGGAGGAGGTGGACCGGTGCCAGAGCAAACATTCTCATTTAATAGTGTTTGCACATGGAGCTACAACACAGTTTGTAGCGAGGCCCTGAGAAAAACCCACAACTAATCCTTCATCGCAGCTGTCTGAACTCTTGATCATCTGCCATCCCCCAAACAGCGCCTTCTTTTTTCTGGTGGCTCCAGGCTTGAATGACTTAGTGTGGAGAGTTTAAACTATATGCAAGGCGGGGAGGGAAAAGGGCAGGGAACCTTAAATAAGCCTCAGCCAAAGGTTTTGTGCATTGCACTTCCTGTGCTTGCAGCCGGGGTAGGGCTGTTCCCCACCCCGTCCACCCCGGGCCATCTCCCCGGGAGGGGAGAGGCCAGGACAGCCCAGCTTCTCCTGGACCGACCCTCTCCTACCCCAGAAGTGAGTCAGGAGCGGCTGGGGTTTGTGCCACAGTAGGATGCTTCTCTCCCTAGGGCAGGCCTGTGAGCCACCAGACCTTCGCTCCTAACATTGCCCCACAGAGATCTGGCTTTGGGGCTTGTTGAAGAAACGAATTGGCTCACTACCTCCTTGCAGCTGGTAGGGTAAGATACTGGTGCCTCATTTTACCAGAAAAGAAGAGGAAGAAATTAAGAAATGGGGCCTGGCCGGCATGGCTCAGTGGTTGAACATCGACCTATGAGCCAGGAGGTCATGGTTTGATTCCCGGTCAGGGCACATGCCGGGGTTGCAGGCCCGATCCCCAATGTGGGGCATGCAAGAGGCAGCCGATCAATGATTCTCTCCCATCATTGATGTTTCTATCTCTCCCTCTCCCTTCCTCTCTGAAAAAAGAAAAAAAAGAAAGATAGAAAAATGTGGCCAACAGATCCAGGAGCAACCACAGAGCTTTACTGCCCACTTTAGGGTGGCCGTCGGTAGGCCAAACTATGAAGGTTGCTGATGTCTTTCCATCCCTCCTCCCTTGGGTAGGGAAGTTTAGACCATCTCGCTCTTGTGGGAAATTTAGAGCCTGGAAGATTATTAAAAACACTGATGATTTTTTAAAAAATCACATTAAATGTCTCATTTTGCATATTCTTTACAGTTTTCATTCTCTATCCGCTAGATGAGACTGCCTGACCACACCCGGTCATTCTGGGCTGCCTGTTCTAATGAGCTGTTTGCTCAGGCCCGTGAGATTTCTGACGTTGACTTAGCAAAGCAGAGCCCTTTCCCCAAGGACTTTCGGATCTCTCGCAGCAAATGGTCCTGGTTAGAGCCATGAGCAGGCCCAGGGCCTTTCAGGAGCTAGAGGTTCATTCTCCCAAGGAAGGTTCTTTCTCAGATACCTGGGGTCACATTAGGAAAAACTTTTTTTTAATTGATTTTTAGAGAGAGGGAAAGACAAAGAGAAATATCGATGTGAGAGAAACACAATGATTGCTTGCCTCCTGCACACGCCCCGACCAGGGCCCAGGCCGGGGAGGAACCTGTAACCAAGGTACATGCCCTTGACCGGATCGAACCCAGGACCCTTTGGTCTGCAGGCCGACACTCTATCCACTGAGCCAAACCGGCTAGGGCAGGAAAAACATTTTGAATCCAGGCCTTGCTTTGGATCTGATGAGTTGGTCCCTCCCTATAGTCACTATTGCAGGCAAAGGACCAACAACATCTTCGGGCCTGGCTGCCAACAGCCACCATGGCCCATGCCTGTTACTAAAGGCCAAGCAAGGAGAAAGGAGGGCATAGAAGGAGGCAGATGGAGAGAGTGAGGAGCCAGCCAGTGCAAAAGCAGACCCACGGTAGCGAGAGTTCAAACACCAGCTTCTAGAAGAAGCGGAGGCAGACACAGATTTCATTGATGTCGGCCCAAGAACTGTAGAGGATACAGTGGGAAAGTTTGGATTGAGGAGTGGCGACATGGGAATAAGAGTTTGCGCATTGACAGATGTCTTAGGTCTGGATCCCTTGAAGTAAAGCCTTTCAGAGAGGTGAGTAATCTCTGGTTGGGTGAGGAAGAGGGAGGAGGATGCGAGGAGCGGGCAGGAGCTCTGCAGATTCCCCTGAAACCCTGCTGCAGGGAGAGCCAGGCTTAGAGGGGTAGCTTAGACACAGCAAGTATTAAGACACTATTTTCAAGCTAATCTTTTTTTTTTAAGCCATTGTGAATGTAACCTAGATATAAAATACATTAAACAACTATTTAGGGAGATCTTTATTTTAAATATCGCAGAAGCTTTGTGTTAATAGAACCCCTCCCCCAATTTTCATGAACATTAAAACATTTACTAGTCTCAAAACATGTAAAATGACAGCGTTTTAATCATTTGCTTTCTACATGCTTTTTAGATCCTCTAACATTAATTTAGAAGACACCAAATCAATGAAAACTTAAAAACGTATGTGTTGGGCTTATTTTGCAGTTCGTGTCTAGAAAATAGTACATTTACATGTATTAATGTATTTGTAATAAATGTATTAATACACCTGTATTAATATTACCCATTTTGGGATTGCTGTTAAGTAAATGTTCTTGGATTATTACATATATGTGAATAACACAATCCCAATGCTGAGATGGAGATTATTTTACATAGTTAAAAATAGAAAAGCTATCTTGTAATAGGTTAGAAAAGAATCTATAAATATATACAGTCTCTGGCTTTTATTCTGTTGTGTTTTGCTTTGGCTACATGCAGAAGGCATTTCATTCCCATTGTTCTAGATTTCATCTGACACATACGTGTTCCATTTGGTAGCTTCAGGTCTTGGTTTTACCCAATATGGAGACGAAGGTCTTTCATTTTGCTGTGCTGCCTTTATAGCTACTTAGACTATTATTTTTCCAAAGCTTGTGCTGAAAAGAGGTGGCAGGGTAGAAAACACGTTACAAGAATTCTTTTTATCCTCAGGTAAAACACCACCACCAACTTTTCACTTGTAAAGAAGTTCAGGATCCCTCTTATGACACACAAAAATACTCAGACTCTCAGAGTCTCAAAATACAGGTATGCCTTCATCACTTTCTACCAGTGAGGACAATTTCTAAGAAGGTGATTCATATTAGAAAAATGTGATGTGTTTTGTTTCTGTGCCAATACTAGGAAACCGCTGGAGTATTGCAGGAGCTTTGAACGCTGCCTCAGTCGCACATTGACTTCCGTGCAAGACAAACCACAGGTGTTATTCATCTTCTGGCCTCTAGGCTTCAGCGCACCTCAAAGCACCCCAAATGGTTCTCAAACTTGAATTGCATTTAAATCACCCGGAGGGCTAGTTAAAACACAGAGCCAGGCCCACCCACAGGGTTTCCGCTTCATGGGTCTGGGCTGGCACCAGAAAATTTGCAGCTCCAGCATGATTCCAGGAGAAGTTGATGCCTCTGGTCCGAGAACCACGCTCTGAGAACCACTGTCATAAACAGTTCTTGCTGAGCCACCAGAAGATGATCTAGATGCTATGAAATGGGTGGCTCTACAGCCAGATGAATCCATCCTGGGCTCACGCTGTTTCCCTGGAGCTCACAATTGTCACAACAGAGTGAAGACCAGGTGGGCACAGGTCATTTCACATTTTCAGTTCCTATGTTTCGCCATCAAGTAGGTATTCACACCTGATATCCTAGTCCTTAGCCCTCTTAAAACTTTCCTCCCCTCCCATGTCATTCCTCTTACTGGAGTTCAGAGAAATGGTTAATCCGGAGAGAGGAAACCAAGGACTGAGCTCTGTTAGTCCTGGCAAAAATTCTAAGACATTCCTAGGCACAGACCGGTCAAGGACAACTACGCCATTTCCGAGAGGAAACGGTGCTTACCGGTACAAAGCTGACCTTATTTTTTAAAAAACGATGGGCTGTCCCACAGAATGGAGGGAACAGCCGTGGATGTGTGTCCGGCCATCCTCACCTTGCCCTCCCCCACCCCCAACAAAATGCCAGTCTTAAATTCTCTCCAATTTCAACAAACAATTAAAAAGAAGTCTCAAAGCTTCCAGACTATGTCCTGGTTCTTAGCTCATTTGCCCTCAGCAACATCACATTAAAAGGAAATAACCCATTATTCCAGCGGTTCTCAACCTGTGGGTCGCGACCATCGGAAAACACATATAGCATATCAGATATTTACATTACGATTCATAACAGTAGCAAAGTTACAGTTGTGAAGTAGCAACGAAAATAATTTTATGGTTGGGGATCACCACAACATGAGGAACTGTATTAAAGGGTCACGGCATTAGGAAGGTTGAGAACCGCTGCTCCCATTCTCAACACTTAAATATCTGTATCCTAAATAACACTGCTCTCAAATACTCTATTTATTATGCCTATTGCAAAAATGTCAGGTCACGGAGGCAGTCATTTTATTTCTTGAAAAGAAGACAATAGTATGATGAAGCAAGAGGTGAGTTTTGATCTCGTGGTGGGATTAGGGCCCAAGCCCAGGTCTGGGGATGAGTGCGATTCATTCCAGGGCAGATGGCTGAGGAGATACTGACACGTGTGATGACACCATCAAAGCTCTCCTGCCAGGTACCTCAGAGATTACTTCTCAGCTTAGAAAACAAAGACCTGAGAGCAAAAGGCAAGCCCTCGTCCACCCGTTTCATGCTCCAGCGAACGATCAGTGTTTACCAATGTGACGGATCACAGTTTGTTTCCCTACCAAGTGGCTTTGGGAGAGCCCACGCTGAAGGTGGCTAGACCTTCTCCATCTCTATCTGCTGGTGGTAGTGCCTGGCCTGCCGCTGGCCAACGTTCAGCTTGTACACGGAGCTCTTGTGCTGGCACCTGCGGTAGCCCCACACGGCCGCCACGCCTGCCAGGAGCAGCAGCAGGCACAGGACGGTGACGATCGTGGCGATGATGGGGCCTCGGCTGAAGCTGGGACACTCGTCTCCTACACACGGCTCCATGGTTGGAAGAAGCTCCTCAGCTGCACCTGGACCAGGGCCTTCCTGTCCCAAGAAGTCCTCTGACAGCAGGTATGGGAAGTTATCCCGGACCTCGGGAGCCGTGGTTTCCATGGGGACCTGGGTGGCTGCCATGGTAGTCGAGGGAATGTGGTTGGGCGTCTTGGGGACAGCAGTTGTTACTGTCTCCAGAGTAGAGCTGGTGAGTTCATAGGGTGAGGTGGCCACAGGAGACTTCTCTATGGCAAACCTCCAAGGGACAGTTGACTGGTACCTGGTCAAGCCACCATCTCCTTTGCTGGGACCCTCGGTTTCGGACACACTCTTGGGTCGGAGAGCAGAAGCTTCTGCATCTAGTGTTTGAGCTGGAAGAACTGAACTGTGGGTCGTGTCCTCATTGGGTGTGAAGGTGGTACTCCTGGGCTTATTAACTTCCACAAGAATGGGCTGATGGGAAGTGAAGAGAGCACATTCTTCCAACCCTACTGACCCATCTCCCTTGTCCCCATCTTCTTCTACTTCCTCCTCTTCTGCCTCTGTCTTCCTCCAAGCCCCATCAGTCACAGGGTAGCCGTCTAACCAGGACTCGTCGCTGCTGCTCACCATCGGGTCCCCTGCCTTGCTGTCATTCCTGCCTACATATGGCCCCGAGGGTCCACCAGGGCTGCTAGAGGTCACCTTGGTTTCAGGTTCACCTGGGGCCAACGTTATGCCACTGTGGTTGTCTCCAGCAGGAAGCTGCTTTTTGGTGTCATCACCCATCTCCTTTTCCAGCTCAAGCTTGTGGAAGGTCTCGGCAGGAAGCCAGAACAAGTACTTCCCTTTCAGTACCGATCCTGGCAGGTCTGTGGGAACGCTGCTCCCAGTGCTGGGCAAGCCTGTCGTTGGCACGAAGGCTGTATCCTGGGCTATGTTTTCTCTGCCCGCAGAAATGGAGACCAGACGGTCCTGTTTTGGGGCCTCCTCGGGGGCTTCTCCTTGACCCCTGTCCTCCTCGGCCTCTGTCCGAGAATCCTCCCTGAGCTCTCGGAATGACACAGACCTGTCATCAGGGAAATTATCTTCATAGTCAATATGTGCCTCAGCCTCATCTGGAAGGGAAGGGAGGGAAAACTGTGTTAGGTCCAAGCTCACAGAGCCAGTGTAGAACACGAGAAAGGGAAATAAAAAGGATAGGGACCAAAACAGATGAAATAAAACCATCACTCACAGATGATATGACTGTGTACAACAGATTAACCCAAAGAATCTACATATAAAAGCTCTTATAATTAATATGTGACTTTATCAAGAACACTGGGTCTATAGTCCATATAAAATATCAGTTGTATTTCTATATACCATCAAAAAACAGAAAACAAAACTGTAAAAAGATGCCACTTGCGATAGCGTTAAAAAAATCAAACACCTAGGAATAAATCTAACAAAAGATGTGCAATATTTCTAATGGCACAAAATATTGCTGAGCAAAATTAAAGAAGACCTAAATAAATGAAGGGGTGGATCATGTTCATGTAATGGGAGGCTCAAAGTGTTATCAAGTCTGTCCAAATTGATCTATCTAGATTTAATACAATCCTAACAAATCTGAGACACTTGACAAGCTGATATTAAAATTTATGGAAATGCAAAGGGCCAAGAATAGACAAGGTATTCTTGAAAAAGAAGAGAAAAGCTGGAAGATGTACACTACAAGATTTCCAGGTTTACTATAAAACTGGAGTACTTTTTAAGACTGTGGTATTGGCCCCAAAATTAATAACAGGATTACATTAACATTATGAACTTCTTGTTCATCAAAGCCACCAGGAAGGGAGTCAAAAGGCTAGCCACAGAGTCGAAGATATTTGCAATACATATAATCCTCAAAGGTTTGTATCCAGAACTTATAAAGAGTTCCTACAAATGTATAATAAATGGATAGAGAAACCTTCGCAAAGTTGGCAAGATACTTGAATTGGCACAAAAAAGAAATCTAAATAGACATTAAATGTGTAAAGACACTCAACCTCAATTGTAATAGAGAAATGCTAATTACAGCCATAATGAGATACCATTACATAGCACCAGAATGGCTAAAATGCAGCAGGCTGACAATGTCCAGTGTTCACAAGGATGTGCTGCACCGTCGGTGGGAGTGGGAATTGGAACAACTTTTATGGAAAACTGCCCAGGTATTGCTGCTGAAATTGAACATGTGTGTGCTCTGTGGCACAGCAATTCCACTACTGAATGTACACTCAGCAGCAGTGTGTGCACATGGGCACCGAAAGACAGGCACCAGAATGTGCATAATAACCAAAACCTGGGAACAATTCAAATGTCCCCGAGCTGCAGAGCTGACACCTGCACCGTTGTGTAAGGGTGGGGCAAAAGTAGGCTCGCAGTTGTTCATATGGAAACTAACACAAGAATACAAAACTCTGTTTTGCACACTCACCACTGTAGACCTACTTTTGCACCACCCTTTATTCACACAATGAACAGGAACCCAACCACCACTCCTACAAGGGCACAGATGACTCTCTCAGCCGCCATGTTGGACATAAGAAGCCAGGCACAAAAGAAAACATTCTGGGTGATTCTATTTACATAAAGTTCAAAAACAGACAAAACTACTCTATGGTGTTAAAAGTCAGGATGGTGGTATAGGAGAGAGGGGTGACGACTGAGTCTGGGCATAAGCAGGGCTTTGGGGTTACTGGCAACGTTCGTTCTACTTCTTGACCTGTGTGGTGGCTAACATTTCTTGTTTCTTTTCTGATAATTTACTAGTATTGATCATTCCCTTGTAATGTGTATGTTATAATTAAGTGAAAAGGTGCCTTTTGATTTGCTCTTTGTAAGACTACGCTGTGAAGTATTCTGAATCCAGCTGAGTAGCCATGAACGGAGGCCCCACAGTCAGGAGGCCCAGAAAGTAAGGCCAGCGGCTCGGGAAGGCTCAGGACACTGTGTCCTCAGGAGAGAGCAGCCTGCTGGGCTTTCCCCATTCTCGGTGGTCTTTACAAGTCAAGTTCTACAGGAAGCCATACTTAACTATTACAACAGAAACCCTCCCTGGATTTTGGGATATAAGAAATATAGATGTGTCTTTGACCCTGGTTCCTGGCATAGGGCCCCTAAGACCCTTGGAATTTCCTGAGGGATAAGGGTGATAAGAACAACTTTTGTTATTTTTTTAAATATATTTTATTGATTTTTACAGAGAGGAAGGGAGAGGGATAGAGAGTTAGAAACATCGATGAGAGAGAAACATCGATCAGCTGCCTCCTGCACATCCCCCACTGGGGATGTGCCCACAACCAAGGCACATGCCCTTAACCGGAATCGAACCTGGGACCCTTCAGTCCACAGGCCGATGCTCTATCCACTGAGCCAAACCGGCAGGGCAGAACAACTTCTGTTATTAATAGCAAGCTTCTTCACCATGGAGGAGTTTACTAGTATGTTAATGAGGTGACTTGGTGAGCCCCTGGGTAGCTTCAGGATGGTGGGGGGCTGGTTGTCAGAGGAACCAACCATGTGATTAGAGGGTTGGAACGATCAGCCCCATTCCCTAACCTCCGGGGAGGAGGGAGGAGGGAGGAGCTGGAGACTGAGTTCACTCCCAATGGCGGCGATTTCATCCATCATGCCTATGTAATGAAACTTCCATGGAAACCCAGAAACCACAGGGTTGGGAGAGCTCCAGGTTGGTGAATGCATCCATGTGCCAGGAGGGTGACTCACCCCAGCTTCACAGGGACAGGAGCTCCTGTGCTCCGGATCCTTCCAGACCTCTCCCTGTGCACCTCTTCCTCTGTATCCTTTCTAATAAGCTGGTCATTGTTCTGTGAGCCATGCTAGCAAATTATGGAGCCTGAGGAGGGGGTGGTGAGAACCCGCAATTTAGAGCCAGTCAGTCAGCAATATGGGAGGCCCTGGACTTGCGGCTGATGTCTGAAGTCAGGGGGGGGGGGGCAGTTTTGTGGGACTGAGCCCTTAACCCGTGGGGTTGGCACTAACTCTGGGTAGTTAACGTTAGAATTCAATTCAGTTGTAGGACACCCGGCTACTGCCGGGAGACTTGGAGAATTGGTTGTTAGT